AATAACCAGTAAAAAAATAATAAGAAGGAAAGATAATAAATAAATCCTCTTTTCGTGTGAAGAAATCTGTTCTCGACACTAACATTTTTCTTTTATAAAATAAATAAGTAATAATTAGTAAAAAAATAATAAGAAGGAAATATAATAAATAAATCCTCGTCGCCAATATCTTTCTTTTATAAAACAAATAAGTAATAATTAGTAAAAACTACTACGAAGTAAAAACAACAAATAAATTCTCTTTTCGTTACTAATGAACCTTTACCAACTCGTAGTTGGTAATCAATCAATGCGTTCAACACCCTACAAAGTGAAGTAACATTTCGGTTTGAATACATTCGGTGTCAAATAATGATCGACTTCGCTTCGCAGCTTAACCCTAGAAAGATAACCATATGACAACGTACGTAAAAGATAACCATACGCTTCAGAGGCGCATGCTTTTAGATGTGTATAAGAGACAGGCTTAACCCTAGAAAGATAACCATATGACAACGTACGTAAAAGATAACCATACGCTTCAGAGGCGCATGCTTTTAGATGTGTATAAGAGACAGGCTTAACCCTAGAAAGATAACCATATGACAACGTACGTAAAAGATAACCATACGCTTCAGAGGCGCATGCTTTTAGATGTGTATAAGAGACAGGCTTAACCCTAGAAAGATAACCATATGACAACGTACGTAAAAGATAACCATACGCTTCAGAGGCGCATGCTTTTAGATGTGTATAAGAGACAGGCTTAACCCTAGAAAGATAACCATATGACAACGTACGTAAAAGATAACCATACGCTTCAGAGGCGCATGCTTTTAGATGTGTATAAGAGACAGGCTTAACCCTAGAAAGATAACCATATGACAACGTACGTAAAAGATAACCATACGCTTCAGAGGCGCATGCTTTTCTAAGGCGTCAATTTTATACTAACAATGGATATTTATTTAAGTTAATCTAGTCATTTTAAAGGTTTGGCATTATTGTAAAAATAAAATGCATTTATATTATATTTTTTTATATTTTAAGTAATTTTAAACTTAAATCACTAGACCTCTATGAAAAATTAACAAAAATCAACAGTCTTCGCAGGCGCCTCTGCGACGTAGGTTATCTTTCTCGGGTTAATGTAAATAAAAGCGAAACCACGATACAATCGCAATTAAATCGTATCCTTTGACGTTTGACGCGCGCTGTGCAACATTCGACGAAAGTCTCCCAATTCCACGGAACGGCCGGACACTTCTGCGACCAACAACGCCGCGGCGTGTCCATTAAAACAAATTTCTGCCATTACCAAGTCCCTTTTTTGCAATGGGAGCTCCGTCGAAACGTCGGCAGCGCTTTACACCGTCGAGCGAGTCGGCATCAGAAGCGGCCCGGAATCGTCAGCTTCAAATAATTACACGGTACCGAATTCCGCAGCCTGTTTTATTGCGATCCGAAATCTATCGGAGCCGCACGAAAGAAGCTTGTAACGGTGTCTGTAAAGTACAACGCAGGGGGAGCCAACATAAATACAAGCGCGTACATAGCACAACCGTCCCCGAGGGTGTGTGCGCCGGTTGTTTCCTCCTTCCGATCCAGAAGCTCGCTTGTTGCTTTCCAGCCCGGAGTACGGCAGCATCCAGCGGCGCGGCGCGGCGCGCTCCTCCTCCTCCTCTTTCTCTCTCCCCTTTTGTTGTCCAGGAGGGACAGAGTTCATCGATCTTTCGACAAAACAGAAAAGTCCCACCGCGGCGGGCGGCAGTCTTTTCTTCCACGGGAAAAACGCTTCCGGGTATTTCCGACCCCTACTCATCGTCTCGTCCTGCCGCCTTTTTCCCTCTCTCTCTCTCTCTCTCACTCCCCCTTTTTCTCTCCTGTTTTATGCCTCCTCGGGACCAGCGTTGTTATTGCCCAACCTGTTTCCGTCTCCCCTTTTTTTCCAGACAGCAGAACCAAACCCTCCGCCACCTATTTTCTTCCGAATCCGCGTCCACTGCCGAAAGGCTTCCACGAATTCGACGCAATCACGATCGATGCATCCTCTCACGTTTGAACTGCTAAGACACTGATTAGCAATCCTTGGGAATTGGATGGGTCTTTTATTTGTTTGAGGCGTTCAAACCTCTTAGAGATTTATATGCTTTTCTGTTTACATTTAAGGAAGGGTTGAATAAAATATCTGTTTACATATGATATATAAATATAAATAAGTATTCGGAGTACTAAACATTATGAAAGAAATTAAATGTCGATAGTAGTTCCTGAAATTGGCAATTAATAAATATAATTAGTTGTGCGAAATATTTAGACAAGTGCAAAATATGTTTCTAAACGCAATTCGTATACCAGAAAAATTTGGAGATTCAGATTTCATCTAAATCTGAAATTTATTAACACTAACATACAGAAAACGAAGAGCGATTGACGCGTGTTGCTTAATAAGAATGAAAAGATTGAATTTATGTCGATTTTTCGCCGTTTTTCTTTTAACACAGGCTGCATAATTAAGTATTTTATGCAATCATTTCCTGTGAAAGAGGCTTTATTATGCCAACAGTTTTTAAATACAAAATGTAACGACACTAATTTTGTTTACATGTAAAAGTGCATTACTTGTACGATGCAATAGATTGCAACTTCAGTTAATCAATCACGTTTAGAAAACAATTGAATCTCTACCGTAAAATGTCTTCGATTTTAGCTTGTAAAACAGAGAATGGTTGTTTGTAACAACCATAACACAATCAAAAAAGGATATTCAAATCTTTATCATATATTTCATTATACCTTTAATGACAAAAGTCTTCGGTTAGCAATAAGAAATTCAAGATAATGCAAAAATTCAAAATCATAAAGGAAATATTTTCCACGTGCTTCTCAGTAGTCTAATCAGAACTTATCGCCAAATCCGTCCGAGTTCCAGCATACTTCCAGCGATGTGGTCGAACAATTCCCTGTTTCCTTTGTCTCCGGTTTTCATTCTTTCGAAAGGGTTCGATAAATTCGACCCAATCACGATCGATGTATTCCCCGACGCCGGTGCGGTGTCGCGATACAATGGTCTTCTTCACGGTGCACTATCCGCTGCGGTTTTATGGGCCAGTGTGCAGTAATGATTTAAACATTCGATAGTGCGCCGTTTTTATGACGTGCCGCGTCATTACGCGGCAATCATTGTGATATAGTGCACTGTACGCCGGCGTTCTATGCGATTTTTTGATACCGCACGTTATTACCAAACGATTACTGCGATCGATCGCGATGCACTGTCGACGGTATTCCTTTTTGCGACAGTGTCCGGTTTGCGTTTTAGGATCGTGATAGTGGTACAGTTCTCGTAATTTTGCCGTACAAAT